TAAAGAGCAGACAAATAATAAGATCAAGAAATGTAAGGCTTACTAAGGAAAAATGTTTGTTTGTTTTAAGAGCAATCCAGAAGACTTTTTGCTACAAGATTTCAAATCATGCAATATACCAGCAGAAACAAAGAAATCCATTACAGCGTTTCTATCTCTTTCTATAATGCTAAGGACAATTCCACAGCGCATAAAGCTTTTGAGCTTAAACCAGTTAATTCCTATCCCTTTACATTGTATTGGCACCTCTCCATAGCACCAGTACAACAAATTCCTGCCAAGTTATATTTAACCAAGATCAGCTCCTTAAGTTGATGCAGCATGTGGGCTGCAAACACAACTGAAACTAAGATGATGGTGCAGAATGAACAACATGGGTTATTGAAGCTGGGTGTTCTGCAGTAAGAACTTCAGATTTCTAGCAGTAGCAAGGCAAGTTAGAATGCCCAACAGATTGGTAGGTTCACATATACCTCAAAACACAATTCCAGACTTTTAGAAATACTAAATAACTTCCAAGATCTCACTATACAGTAGTCTGCAAGGTCAAGCTAAACAATCAAACTTGAGAGACTTCGTAGAGACTAAGACAGAAACTGAGGCATAATAAAAAATACTACCTTCAAAATGTACTGAACGAAAGTAGAAAACATTGATTTTAAATGAGGTGTGAGACAATGGGAAATCAATGTAGTAAACGCTCAAAATTCTGATTCATCTTACTTCCTATAGTCTTTCTTTCTCCCAAAATAAAAATGGGAAACAATACTGTTTTGCAGAGTATATAATCAATGAACATTAAGACGTTATAACTACGAAATAAACAAGAGAGTTCGACTAAGCAGATTATAATAACTAAAAGAGAATAGATAGAAAGCTTACGCGTATCCTGGGTTCACTTACAAAACTCCAGCGGAGCAGATCTCCAGAAGAGACCCTTCCCCACTGGTAGCCAGCTCTTAAATAGGTCTAAAAGAGCTGGAGCCTGGCTCCCCCCCTTCCAGCAGCACAGGTGAATTGCCTTCACCTGTGCTCCTGTGGCTGACTCAGTGTTCGCCTCAGGTGATCAATCAGAGGTTCAGGCCATGATTCAGCAGTTCCCATACACAGAGGAAGACACCAAACTAAATACTTACTTCTGTGCTAATGCTGCATGAATTCTTCGATACATGTAACACTCTACAAACAACCAAGGGGACTGAAACCAACTTGGCTCTCCGTTTCCATTTAATAGATTACGTTGGTAGTCTAGGTATTGGTTCCACAGGGCAGCATCAGGCAGATCATCTTCTAGGGGAGTCACAGGTTTGTCTGTTTGCAGTTCATTCCGTAATTTGGAAAGGAAGGATATAGCTCTCTTCTCTGCTTCAACACCCTTCTGAAAAAAGCAAAGAACAAAAGTTCCTATTCTGAACATTTATTCCTATAAGCAACATAGTGCAATCTTTCTGGAAATCAGTAAGTGGTAAGTCTTAGCTGCCACGCATAAGTTCCAGAACAACTCAGAGCTTGATTCATCCAAACACATTTGGGTGAACGACATTCATTTTATGCATAACATCCCAAAATGAATCACACATTGGACTTCTTTTTAGATTGGTTAACAAAGGGGAACAGAAAACACGAAGGCACAGAAGGGATCTCTAATAGTTAGGGAAAAGCAAAATCCCAGGCAAGCAGAAACCTTATTCTTACCTCACCATGTTCTTCAAAGAACTCATTTTTGTGTCGATGCAGAGTGTCAATAGCTTTTGTGAGGATCTGGGGTAGTCGGTCTTTAACTGTAAAGTATGCAAAGGATCTAAAACGGAAAGTATCAAAATTTTATTAATGAAGTGATGAAATATCTACTATTTTTTAAATAGCATAGTCTTAAAAGCCAGTTTCTGCACACATAAAACAGTTGACAGCAATGAGAAAAAAAAAAAATCTTTAAAAACCATCTGGATGTGGTGCTCAGGGAGATGATTTAGCAGAGGGTTGTTAGAGCTGCTCTCTTTCCAATATATAAATATATAAGAATTATTTACAATTACACGTGAAATTAAATGATTGTGTATATATACATAATTTATATAGACATTGAGCAATTAACGGTTATGGTTGTTGTTTTGTGGGGTTTTTTTTTGGGGGGGGAGGGGGGAGATGGGGGGAGAAGAAGGTAGCCAAGACATGCACAACCCCACAACGAGCTGTATGTAACCCATACTGGAGAATGATTTTTAAAGCTTTTCCACTGCGTGCACCGGAGCCCTGAGCGCAGCGACCGGTAACGGAGCAACACCCGCCAAAGGTCGCAGGAAGTACACGCCCCGCCCCGCACCACCCTCGCTCCCACAGATGCTGACCGACGGCCCCAGGCACCCGCAGCCACAGCGGGGGCGGAGAGGCACCGCCCGCCTTCAGACGGCCCCAGCCCCGCACCCACAGCGCCACCTCCCGGCGCCGCCCGAAAAGGGCCCGGCCACGGCACCGCCTCCGCTCTCCCGCAGAGGGGCCGAGCGCCGGCCCCCGGCTCCTCCCCCGCCCGGCACCAGCCGCTAGGCCGCGGGTCTCGGCGGAGGGCCTGGCTCCCGCAGACAGCCTTAGGGCGAACAGGGAGCTGCGGCCGGGCCCTCGGCTCCCTCCTGCCCCTCACCCCGCAGCCGGTAACGAGCGCGCCGGGCCCCGACGGACCCCTTAAACCTGGCCGAGAGGGAGACCGGTAAGGCCGTTACCGCCGCCATCTTGCCCCGCCCCCCGGAAGTCTGGCGCGGCGGCCGGACGTTATTGGAGCGGCGACCGCACCCGGCGCGCGGCGCGGCGCGGCGACGGGCGGGGCCTGGCGGGCCGCGCGCGCCCTGGCGGAGCTCGGCGGGCGGTGGGCGGGGCCGCGGCTCGCGCGGCGGAGAGAGGCGCGCCCCCTCCCCCAGGTCAGTGCTGGCGCGCGGCGCGAGCCGCCTCCCCCTCCCGCGCGGCGGCGGGCGGGGAGCGCGGGGGGGAGGGGAAGGGCGGGCGGCGCCGGGTGCTCGCCGCCGCCTTGTGCGAGCCGCGACGGGCGGCCGTGAGGGGGCGGGGAGCAGGACGGCTCCGACCGGAGCCACGGGGGGCGCGGAGGACGCAGAGAGCGGGAGGGCGGGCGACTGTGGAGCGAGGGAAGGGCCCGGCCTGTAGCGTACGGCGGGGCGGTGTTTGTCTTTGTCCTTTCCGGCTGCCAGTGCCGCAGCCGGAACGTCACCGATGCCACTCTCCTGTTTATCCTTCATGTCCGGATACCGCAGCGACTGTAGCCGAGCGGCAGGGCGCGGGGCGACGGGGCGGGCGCTGCCGAGGCGCCCCTCGGCCGCGGGGCGGCGCCTGGGCCGCGGCTGCCACCTCAGGGGAACGGTGGGGGCGGGTGGAGCGCCGCCGCCTCGTTCTTCCTCTGCGGGCGGAACGCCACCCCTCCCCATTGGCTGTTTGGCGGCTAACTTCCCGCCCGCCCCGGCGCGCAGCCAATGGGAGGCGCGCAGCCCTTCCCCCGCGCGCATGCCGGGCGGGCGCTGCGGAATTCCCCCGGGGAGCGGGGGAGGGGCGGCGGCCTCCCGCTCCGAGCAGCGGCCGCGGCGCCGTGAGGCGGCGCAGGATTGTGGTGCTGCCTGTCAGCTCCCCGCAGTCTGCCCAACGCCTGTGTACCGTTCCTGAACGCTGGATGGAGCTTGAAATGAAAGTAATACGCTTATTCCAGTGCGGCTGTCAGATACACGTTTACAAGCTGGAATAACGTCACAAGTGAAAAGCATGTACAGTTACCGACATCAGTTACTTCTTATGTTGTAGCCTAAATGTGTTCTGTGCCTCTTTTTGTACGACTACGTGCAGCTTCTGTCAGTATTAGCACACCTCTCCTCCATTATGTCAGAATGAGCCCTGTCAGCATCCGGGCCTCACTCTCTCCTCTGCACACAGTGATGTGATCCCACCAGAAAATGGTGATCTCCGTGCTGCGTGAGGTGCACAGCTGATGGTGAAGATCCCTTACATAACTCCTGAAGAACAGCCGTGCACTGACTTTTCCTCAAACAGTGCAACTCACCGACTTTTCTTTTTGTTAATAAGGTGCTGAACGTTGATTCTGTGCCACTAGAGAAGTGTTCCTGGTTAATGACAGCAGGTGGGGGAAGGGACTTGGCACTGCAGCAAGTGCAGCACACCCACTGAGGTGCTAAGCCTGCTTTCTCATTTGATTACCGCATACATCCAGGAAAACATTTTTGTTTTGGGCTATTGGAATAACAGTACACATTCCTGTCAGCACAGGTAGACCTGCCAGCAGGCCTTGCAGTCTGTACTGCACTGTTATTTAACTGTGGGTTCAGCACCATAACGTGATTTATTTGGCTCTCCCTTCATTCATGACAGCCAAGCTGAGCTGGATCTGCTCTTCATAGAATCATAAAATGGCCTGAGTTAAAAAGGGCCACAAAGATCTAGTTTCAACCCCCTGCTATGTGGAGGGTCACCAACCACTAGACCAGGCTGCCCAGAGCCACATCCAACCAGCTCTTGGATGCTTGTGATGCAGACCTTCCGCTGATGTCAGTCACTATGCGTGTTCTGTAGGTGGTATTTCAGTATAGCACACAGTAATCTGGTTCTTGCTTCTATATTGTATGAGGGACTCACATAGCAGCCTAAACCCTCTTTAAGCTGAGTGCTTGCTTATGAGTAGTTAAATCATTGGGTTACTGGGAGCACTGACTGCTGTGCAGAGTGAGCAGCAAATGGAAAAGGCACCTGCTAACCTGTTGATCCAGCAGCCTGTTCTGCTTCTCCCACCATGTATTGCAAGCACACAGTTCATTAATGTGCTTTGCTCTTAGAATAGTCCCATAGAACTGGGAAAAAGCTGTTCAGACCCATCACTGTGTGTTTAGGAGAACTAACATACACAAAAAAAATACGGCTCACCTTTTAGCTAAGGGAAAAATAATATTCCTTTCCCAAGGTCTGATAGAGGATTTTATTTGTTTTAAATACAGTTCAAAGGGAAGCAATGAGACTGAAACTCCTGCACCTTCAGACTACATCTTTTCACTCTTTGACTACAATACATCGATGCCAAAGATTTAATAAAACTGGACATCAAATTCTAAAGCTGGATAATGATGTTGACAGAACGGATCACAGAACAGCTAAGATTGGAAACTTGTATGCTCCAAAGACTGCTTCCCCTTGTTTGACAAGGCCCTCTATGCAAGTCAAGAATTGGCAAATGATCCAAGGAAATGTATCTGCTTTGGGAAAAAGTGTTTATTATCAGGGTGGGGAGATGTTTTTCCCACCCTGGAAACGTTTTGGCTTGGCAGCAATGGAAAACTACACACTCAATGTGGAGTATATTAAAAAGCTCGGGAACATATCATCAAGATTTTACTCAATTGTATCAACTAGTAAAATTATTCCAAAACCAAGTACCCAGCCAGTTAAGAGGCCACCAAAGGCACCAAGGACCAAGCAGCCCTCCAGAGCTAACCAGCCACTACTGTCAGACGACATGAAGGTAAAGAACAGAATTTACAGTCTATATAATGTTGAGGGAACTTTATCAATTTAATTCAGATTTAGATTTGGGTTTAGATTAACATTTTAATGAAATGAACATATTTATTTGATGAAAAGGACTTTATTATTTACCTGACCGTGACCTCAGAGGATTTGAAACTCTGCAGACACAAGCTAACTTGGTAGAAACAGGTGTGTCTGATGGTTTGGAGATGAAGTTTTACCAGCAGTATGTAACAAAGGGGAGGGAAGAGAGTTGATTTCTAAAACAGAAAGACAGGAAATCGTTTAAAAATTATTGAAGGCAATGTTCTCAAGTTTAATATTGAGGAGCAAGATCTGCCTTTCAGAGTAACTTAACTTTCCATAGGTATACTTGCTTGTCCAATTCCATCCAGTATCAAGGCTTCATTCTATTGCTAACAGAAATCAAGATGAGAATAAATAATACCAAGTTTACAAATATTCCAACTAGGTTTCAGAAACTTTCAATTTAGACTGTGTTCTCAAGTATGCCTGTGTTTTTCCATTTTTTTATAAACAGACACCACATTTCAAGCCATAGTGAAATAGCTTTAACACTACAGCAAATTTATTCGTAGTGATAAAATATATTTTTGTAGCAACATGTGAATGAGGATCACTACGCTTAGCATTCGAAGCCTCGCAGTATTTCAGAAAAATAGAAGGTTATTTCTGTGCAATCAGTGGAAAACTGAGCTGCAGATGTAGTCTGTGTAAGTTGAGCAAGATTATTCCATGTGTAGAAATAGCACCTGGATCACCAGACTCCTGGGTCTACAGATTGACTGCCACAACAATCTCTTGTGGATAAAATCAGGTAAACAGGATGAGTAACTGGAACAATGCATACTTGTAGCTGTTACTCCCTGAGATAGGTCTTTGCGAGCCCCACTAATTCTAGCCAAAGCAGACTGTAAGCACACTTGAATATAAGATCTCCAAGGAAAATCATGGAGTTGGAAATGTTATTGTTCTCCTCAAGCTACAATAACAACAGAGTTCCAGCGTGTTTGTAACAAAATAGTACTATAGATGAGACTGAGACAAGTATTGTGCTTCCAGAAATAGCTTGCACATTGCAAAATACACCTATTACATGGTCTGCTGAATGTGAGCACAGAAAGTGAGGTCTTAATGATTGCCTTCCAGACGTATAAGCTCCTGTTTAATATCTTGTATGACTAACAGGAGTATGGTATAATGTACCATCAAGTCTCCATTGTAGAAAATTCATTTCCCACTTGAATTTTCCTGTTGCTTTGAAAGAATAAAATACAGAATTTTCTCTTAACATACTGCATACTGTTCCAAGCTTTCTGCTTATGCTGTTGGGTGGATTTAAGTGACTTTTTTTTAGATACCTAAGGTTGAATGCTATTTTTACTTTCTTCCATTTTGAAGAAATTGAAAACATTCTGCCTGATAGACTGAACTAATATCATTTCTGGGGAAGATCCCACACTGCAAAATGGTGTGCCAGAAATCATGTAAACTAGGACCTAACAAACCATTTTCGATTTTTAAACAAACAGTGTGTGGTTTTGTCAAACATACAGCTCCATCTACAGGGGTACTGCCAGGCTGTCACCCTGACCCTGTGCAGGCTGACAGCATTTTGGAATAAGCTGCTTTTTTTTTTGCTTTTTTTTTTTTTTTTTTTTTTTTTTTTTTTTCCTTTGGAACCTATTTGTATACTCCCTTGTAGATATGTAATGTAAAGAGCTAACTGAAAGATGAGACTGTTTTCTGTAAGATGACTGATATCACAAATGGAGAATCCTTGATGTATTTTTTTTTTTCACCGTGTCATTTTTCTCTAACTCCTGGTGTCACAAAAAAGCTGATCTTGTCTTCCTCTGCTTATTTTAAAGTAACCAAGATCCCTCCAGTAATATAAGCCATGTTTCCAGTGCAGCTTAGAGCTGGCTGCTGCCTCTCTTCACAGTCTGCCCCTGGAGATGTGCTGTAGAGTCATTAGGCTTTCAGTTAGGTGAACCCTTAGGTCCCTGATGTTTTCTGTTTGATGGGCTCATTAACAACTTCTTTTTGCAGAATGGTCCATGGATAAGCTCCTTCTAAGCACTCATCTTCAGGTGCTGTCTGCAGATAGAATGCACCAGCATGACATGATAAATGATCATTAGACCAGTTTTTCAGGATAAATGGAGGGCTTACTCCAACGTGATAACTGGTTTGGTTAGCCATTCAGTGCATAGTGTCACTGCTACTCAGATTAGTTACTCATCTCACAAGGTCTCACAAGACATGAGAAACCTTTAAGCTGATTTTTAATGATGTTGCCTAGACAAAGCTTGAAAATCAACTGAAGGTGGAGTACCAGTATCCTCGAGATAAAGATGAATGCCTGCGGTGATAAGTTTAAGTTCATTTTATAGGTTTTCTTACCTAAATGAAATAATAATAATAAATTCTTAAATGTTTGCATTCTCAAAATGCAAGGGATGAGTTATAAGAATGATAGTTCCTGTGCAGTTGCTGGGTGGATGATGATACAGAAAATGAGTACTTAGAATGGCTGATCTGATGGCTGCTTTGGAGCTCTGAACTGTATTTTAATGAACCCAGGTGCAGCCAGGAAGAGGAGGGTGGCAAGTGGCTGGAGATGCTGTCAGCAGGACAGAGCTGCCTTTATTTTAGGCAAGTTTGCAGGTGAAGGTGAAGGTGACGTAACAGACAGTGTGGGATGGAGGTTTACCAGCCAGTTAATGCAGGTATTTTAGGATGAGCTGACTGTAGACCTCCGTGTTACATCTCCAACTATGATGGAAGCCTGAACACCTAGAATGCTTGTGGACACATAAATTATAGGTGTCTTAAGCTCTACACCCATGCTAAATGTCCCTCACTGAACAGTATTTTAGTAAAGGTGAAACAGTGCATTCTTTAAAAATAATTTTAAAAAAAGAACCATATCCAAGCTACATATGCAAACTGCTGTTTCAGGCACTTATTGGCAGCCAACTTCTGGTGGTAATTAAAGTCTTTGCATGACAACTAAACTCAAAGCCATAAATTAAACAGTCTGTCCTGTAGCACATCTACCTTGAAGTGAACAATAACAAATTTAACTACAGAAAGTGTAGATCAGGGTAAGGATTGTCAGGTGATATAGCTAGAAGATAACGCTGTGCTCCCTGAAGGATTTCATGGCAGCATGTGTGTGCTTATGTTAACCAGAGCTTTCTAGAAGAGTTTAAAATGTGTAATTGCGCTGGCAGTTTAGATGCTGGAAATGGATTTGTACAGATGATACTGTAAGAATGCAACTTTTCAAAAGATACTGTAGCAAGAGAACTGAATATACAGTTCTGTTGCACTGTTACTTGCAGTTAACTGTGTTAATGGCACAGTCATGGGAACATGACTGCAGAATTGCTCTCTGTTAGTGGTCACTGAAAGAAATTGATGTAAGCAAAACTTTGGGAATGACAGCACCTTAATATGAAGAAAAAAAAGTTTAAACGTGGGCCTTGACCCAGCTTACTGGTTCTGGGCCTCCTTAAGGAGCAGAGCACCCTTTCACGTGTTTCAGTTTGACAGTGTATGAGTGCCATGAGAATATTATTTGAATTTTAAGTTGAAGCATACTGTGGATATAAGCACTTGCAGATGAGTACAGCTCTTCTGTGCATTTGTTGTTAGTCACATCCCCCCTTGTGTTAGTTACAAAAAGCTGGAAAGCAACTGATCTGCAATGAGAAGTATTGCTTTCTGGATATCTTCCATTACATTGTATTGAAAAACATTATGATGGGATATATGAGGTATCAGAACAAAGAAATGTACTTAAAATAGGGAGTAGGTTTTGTAGACCGGTTTATTGTGCCTTGCTGAATTCTTCAGGGAAGCTTTTACACAGATGTTTGATTTCTCTGCCATGCGTGAGTTGATCTTATTGCCAGTGTCAGTGTCACTTTTCCTCATCTTCTTGCACGGTGCCAGTTACTTGTCTCACTGTGGCATTTTATTTATGTAGGACTGTGGAACATGGAGACAAACTCTGGCTGTTGTGTACCACTCAACTGTGGTTTCAGTTGAGACTGTATTGTCAGTGCAAGATTTCACTCGGAGGGAAACACTGATGATGTGCAGCATTTGGGCTGGCACTTAAGGTCTATGCCTTGCTGTGCTGCAGTGCTATGATGGTTTAGGTCCCAGGGGTTACCTGGGCAGTAAGCTCAGTGCTCAGAACAAGTATTTGCAGCTGGAGCTAAGCAGACTGGGATAGTTTAACTCCATGCATCTTCAGAGATCTATAGGCTGGTATTCATGGTGTTTTGCTTTTGATTTTGCTGGTCAGCCAAGTACGTCATAGGCTGTGAGAGGGATGAGCAACCGTGGCTGTACTGCCAAAGCATTTCACTGCCAATCAGGGAAGAGGGGTTCCATTTGTGGCCCTATCATGAAGTTTGTGACTTCATGTGACTTGTGACATGTAGTTGGGTCTCAGTCATTGAATATGGGATATGTTTGCTTCCCCACTTAACAGGGAGTGACTGATCTCATTAGTATTTGTACACCAAGTGGACAGCAGAACAATGATACAACAGAAGAGAATGAACAAATGAAAAACATCACCCTTGTGATTGCTTTGAGACAAACATGAGCATGTCTTGTGTACATCTTGCTTCATCCTTTCCCTAACTCAAATCTTTATTCCTTTGGCACAGAATCTGATGCAGTGCACAGCCTTTGCAACAGCAGATGAATATCATCTTGGTAATCTGTGTCATGACCTGACTTCCCATGGATATGTTGAAATAACAAGTTTGCCCAGAGGTAGATTTTTAAAGCACCTTAAAAGCGGTATTATATCTTGGGAAATGAAATATGGGTGAGATATTTAATTTTTATAACTTCATATGTTTTCATTTTGGTAATACCCTGGAATGTATAAATATAGCTCTATTTAAAATTTCATTTGCTTTGAATAAAATAAAAATCAAAGTGAACCATTTTGCTGTTACTGTATAATAATTTTTCCCTAAATTACTATTATATTAAAAGAATCAAAAAAATCAGATAGTCTTGAGAAGAATACATTCAAGAAAACATAAATGAGATTTCCTAATAGAAACTCTTTTATAGAAATTCACTAACTGAAAATTTTCTGAAAGTTTATTTTAATCAGTGTTTCAGTAATGTGATACCAGAGGTTCAGCTGTCAACAGTTTTGTATTTTGAAGTGTTGCACCTTCTTTCCATTCCCACATTTCTATTAATGTAAGTTGCTGAGGGCTGGAGGCACACGAGAGGATCTTGCTGACTACATGAAATGTAGAAGGTACACATATAGATATTTAGTTCTGGTAAAGAGAATGTAGTCGATACTTTATACTGGGCCAAATATATCCTGGTAATTGTTGAATGGTTCCCTTCAGTAATAATTGGTTCCGGATCTATACAAAGTATCTCTGAAGACTTGGGAAGGTATGGCATGGAAATAGCTGGAGCACACTACAGGAGAAAAACAAATAGAGCTTTTTATAGCTTAAAGACCTTCTAACCCTAGAACAGCTGTGATTTTCATGTGTTGGCAGTAGATTTATTATTTTTTGTGAATGAACAGATTATGTGAAGCAAAAGATATCCTTCATGGACATTTCATGAGAGGTTATCAAATGTCTGGCTGCCTCTCTGAAGAAACCAAGCGTGACAGTACTCTGATGGATCTTTATAAAGGTTACTTGAGAACTGTCTGTCTTTCTCAGAGAGAAGGCATTACATAGTATAGGCTCCATGTTCTTTCGTAGTTCCTTTGGATTAAAAAGAACACTCTTCTGAGAGCTTCAGGATAGAGTTACCCGAATTGCTGTGATGCTTATGTTACTGTTGCTGGTATTTTACCCTGGGAGTGTGGGTTTTGCCAATTCTTTCATTTCTTTACGGTGTGTTTTTGACTCCTTACAATAGATACTCTCTCAAAATTGTTCAGGAAGTGATGAAAGTTTATTTGATAGTGACAGCAAACTTTGTGGTGGTTGGTATGTAGGTGTAACAATGCTAAGTTACCCAGTCAAAAGTTGTATCTCATACATCTGAAAAATACTAGCATATAGAAATCTAAATTAGCAATTAGTGTGAATTTGTTGCTTTGTAGTGTTCTTCCTCATATCATTCTTTTTCAACCACTTTACAAATATTTTAGAGGTTGATACTGTAGCCCTCCTTGGAAGGAACCAAATGGACATTCACTGTACATATTTTATCTGGGGAGGATAAAGGAAGATTAAGTAAGGGCAATACTTGAAAAGGCAGATGAGAAAGTGCAGACAAATGTTTCTTCTGTGGTAAACTCCAGCTTCACACCCAGAACCTGCCCTAGTGATTCATCAAATCAGTTGTTCCTGAACTGGAATAGCAAGCGAAAGAGAAATCTTTAAAGAGTTCATACAGATCAGCTGCACGGTCTCAATTCAGCTACTAGCAAAAGCTCATCCTGTACTTATTTAGACATCTCTTCCTGTCACCTTAGTCTGCCTGGCCCCAGTGCAGCAATGTCCGCATTAGCAAAGTAGTACAGCAAAGCAGATGTGTAGTGAGCAGGAGAAAAAACTGGTTTGAGAACTCAGGATCCATACTGGAGGCATTCTGCATACACTGGCTTGAGTCTGGTCTCCTGTAATGAACCCCTGCTAGTGGCTGGAATTCGTTTTTCAGTTAAATTTCATGCAAAATAAATCCAGTTCGTGCATTCTGACACTTCTGCAATGCAAATCGAAAGTATGGTAAATGAGAGTGACTAGAAGATTTGTTTCAAAAGCATGCTTTGATCCAAAGGAAAACATAGATGTAACTTCTGCTGTCTTGGGGGTATGCTTTTTCAGGTTTCTATCAAAGCACAGTCAGCAAAATTTGAGTGCAGGTTAGTCCCTTGCTAAACAAAAGAGAAAGAGATGTTGGTAATTACTCTGCAGCTGTGGGCTTCTTTCCATCATTCCATGCTACGTGTCCACTTCTGCCTTCTGTATTCTGCTCTTGGTTATTTACTGTGCCCTGCATCAGTTTTTTCTTAAGTCTTTTGTTCTTTAAAACAACTGTATTTCATTAACTACAGTTTTTCCAGTTCAACATCATAGCTGAGTCTATCTAGCGTGTGACGCTTCAGAGAAGCTGTGTAGCTTTATATTATAGCTTTTTAATCAGAAAAAGAGGATACAGAACTGACTTTGAACAGGAATTGTGCTTGCAGCTACTGCATTTAGAACTTTAAATAATTCTGCATTTTGAACTTTTGTTTGTTCATTTATTTCAAACTAGATGCTGCGAATGTTTTGGTGATGGGTGCTGAGAAATCTGCAAAAGAAGATGATCCTGGCATGATTTTTTTCTTCAGGTAAGTTATAAATTATGTCTGAAACATTACCTTACAAATAGCATTCCTGCAGAAGCAGTGCAGTTTGCTAAAAACCACCTCATGAAGCTCAAGGAATAACTGTCTAATCTAAATGATTCAGAATTTTAAAAAAATCATACTCACACAGGGAAAGAAACCAGACATTTTAATGTTTTACACTGAAGCATGGATAAAAAGCAACTACTGCACAGTCTCTGTGCATTAGTATTAAATTCTATAATTCATAGTGTCAAGAATTGCCACCATACAATTTGACTATTGCATTAAAGTACATTTAAAATAGTGTAATTACACCTCAGTTTTTCCTTGAATTCACAGGGAAGGGGCTGTTGTGTTTTGGAATGTGGATGAGAAAAGTGTAAGTAAAGAAAAACCGTTTGTTAAAGCTTCATCAGCAGATGTCTTGTCAGTCCCACAAAGCCCATTGTGCTTTGGTATTTTTCTGAGAACTTGGATCTCTCCTGGAAGGAAAAGGACTGATTCTTCTCTAAGGAGTGCGGCTGCTGCCCTCAAGCGTGTGGGTTGCTGATACATCACCTATAAGTGACCTTTTAAGCCTGTCTTTCTGTGCAAAATAAGCAAGTGTAACATACATATTGTTACATATGTAACATACAAAGGGGGTGAAATCTCTTAAGTCCAAAAACCTGAAACCTTAACCTGGTGAGGTTGACAGAATTTTTTTTTCCCCCCTACAGCAATATATACTGAAAAAGTAAATCAGAACAAAATCAACACATGAATGTGAAGGAAAATAAATGAGCAGTAAAAGATCACTCCAGGGCCATTTAAGTCAAAACTTACATTTGGATGACTTGCAAGGGGCAAAGTTTGGAAACAGTTGGTTTTTACACTGTCTTATGCTTTTACCAGTGAGCAGTTTTTCCTAAAGGAAGGTTTTCATTGGTTGGTATAATTGTTAAAAATATATCAATATTGAAATAATGTATCCCTTATGGTAATTTGATATTATTTGTCCACCAAGAGGGGTATGCTCCAGGCATATTTATTTTTATGAACGTATTTCTAGTTATTTAAAAATACTTCTTTTTTCCTGTGGTTGAGTAAATGTGAGCTTTAGATAGATAAAGGCATTGATCTTCTCTGTAGGCAGTGTATGTGAAACTAATTGCTATGTTAAACAGATGATACTAAGGCAGACGATTTATGGACAGATTTTCACTAACATAAATGAAAACACAGTGGTTGCTTCCAGATGTGAACTATTTCTGTATTCAGGTTTGTTTTTTCTGTATCAGACCTGAAATGCTCCTGATTTTCTGTCTGTTTTGGAGGGTTACCTCAGCTAGCCTACAAATACACTAGGTCTTTCTTCAAACCTTGCAGGCTGCTATGGCAGTAATTGTGCTCCTGACTCACAGGTGTTGCTGAAGACCAGCTGACCAACCCCTGTTGATTTTTATGAATTAGGCACCTCTGCCCTCTGAAAAATCTAATTCTCATGTAGCTTTTACATGCTTAAGCACCACTGAAAACTTGATAAACTCTTTCTGCCAGAAGCAACTTTAGTTGGTGCTTTTGTTAGTTTTATTTATAAAGAGAAAAACTGCCTTTTTTATTCTGTGGAAAGTTTTAGTTTTTTGTTTTAGTTTTCAAAAACCTTGCTCAAATACAGGGCAATATTTTTTATGCATGAGTTTTAATGAACTGAAACAAGGCAAAAAAAAAAAGGCCTGTTAAACTGAAACTGAAAGTAATTCAGTAAAATGGCGTGTAGGAACTCACTATGAATGGACAAAATTGCTCTTTAAAAGTACTCCAGAACAAATATTAGGGAAGGAAAAACTAGTCTAAGCTAACGAACACTTAACAGAAGTAGTAATAACTATAGGCTGTTGTAACTGAGATTTGAAATTGTAAAATACTTTTTTCAGATGCCTCAGCAGTAAGGTTGTGCAATATCCTCCTCACTGTAGGGAAAGATAATAACAGATAACCAGTTCTAAATTACCCAAAAAGAAATATTTGCTTACCCATCCTAAGGATTAGGGCTTACCAAACACTCCAAAGAAAGGGATCACCAAGTAGAAATCCTTCCTTGTAGCAGCCAGCCCTAAAATGAGGCGTAGGGAGGCATGGAACCTGGTTCCACCTGTGCTCCCAGGGCTGGCTGTGTCCCTTCACCAGGTGCTCAGTCATTGGTTCAGGCCATGACTTAGCAATTCCCATACACCTACCAAAAATAGCAAGGGCAAAAAAAAAAAAAAAAAAATAGCTTCAAGGTGGAGTGCATCAGTTTTGTTAGAAGGTGATTCTGTGATCCAATCACCTCTCATTGCGAGAGTTTGCACTTAATGAATCCAAAAGATTTCTCATTAAATGTACTGTGTGACAGGTAGTCCCTTCCATAAAATTAGGCTGGGCCGGGAATAAACTCCTGTCAATTAATGGAAGCTTTTGTATCACTTTAAAAGAAAGCTGCCACTGAAACATAATTTCCTGTTATCCAGATGAATGGTAAAACTTTGGAAGCATGCGTATTACAAGGCACGTGAATTTCACACAGTCAGTCATGGTCTGTAAACCTTTGATAAACGTTACTCTGAGCTAGAAGTAGTTTTGGAACAGACTCTTCATTTGCTAACAGTGTAACTATTACTATACTGATCAATACTCCACAATGCCAACTAGGCTATCAGGATCCAGGTAAATATACCCCTGAAATCTGGCATACCGCATTATGGATTGACAGTTAATTCTGGCATTGTTTTAGCAGGACTTCCCTGGAAGCAGTGTAACTAACTGGTTGGCCTAACAATATACACTTCCTTACTGAAAAAAAATGAGAAAGAAAAAAAAAAATTACATATCTATCTATTTATCTATCTATCTATCTATATATATATAACTACAATATTCAGAATATATAATTGGTCACTGAAACGAAACTATTGATTTTAGCAAACTAGTAATTTTGGAAGAAATGGCCACCTGATGTATTTCTCCTGAAGATTCTTCCCACACTCAGACATCTGCCAAAGTCTTGTGCAGCTCACTGTTACACTTCTTCATTGAAGTCTTTACTGCTGCTGTGGTTAATCCTTACCTTGTTTTATAAATGCAGGCATTGAGTGATATTTTCACAGATCCTTTGCAGTTGTTCACAGGCACAAAATTCTTCCACATAGCTTCCAAAATAAACTGTGGTAATAACTGCTTCCTTCCAATACAAAAAAGTTACTAGCACAACTACTTGTTTTTATTTGAATAACATTAGTAAGCAGGAAATACACTTCATCAATGTATTACCTGCTAGCTCTTCATAGAATGATAATATGTTACAGTAGTAACTACTGTTATGTGTATTATCTTTTTCTTAGATGAAGAATATAATGCGAGTGCTGGAACAGCATGAAATTCAGCCATATGAAGTAGCATTAGTCCACTGGGAAAACGAAGAGATAAACTATAGAATAGGAGAGTAAGTATTTTCAAGTGCTTGTGTTTATTCAATAGCTTATAGACTTCTAAAACAAATTCAAGTGAAAGCAACTGGTAAAAATACACTTCCCAATTTTTTTTTTTCAAATGATTAAAACAGGGAGAGAACAGTAAACATAAATTCACAGATTTTCCTGAACTGCTACACTTTCAGTCAGCGACCTTTATGACTTGGTTATATGTTAGAGTTTGTAAATTATGAAGCTCCACATCCACACAACTGAACACATTCTTCAGCTGTCCCAAAGAGAACATAAATGCCTCGCAGGGAAAACAAATATCCATTATTGAGACAATTTGGATTTTAAAGGACATACAGAATTTTTCTGGATAAGCTCTAGGTTCAAATACAAAGTTGTGTTCTGCACTTACTTCACTTCCTAGAAAAGATATATCTTGAGTAATGTGGACAGATAAATCTGGCACCCATCCTATCTTTTTAACTACTTTTTTTCGTTATGGAGAGCAAATGATCTCTGTGGAGATACTTACCAATGTCACTGATGATGTCATTTATTTGTAATTTTCCAACAGCACCAAAAAACTGCACTCAGGAGACAGTAATGCCATAAGCTGAGCTAATGAGTTTGAGTTCATTTAAAGTAATTTGTTAAGAGGACAACTGTGGCTTTTTTTTGGTTGATTGGGTTTTGGTTTTGTTTGTTTGTTTGTTTTCTGGCCATTTGAAAACTGTGTGGACTATCCAGTTGTGGAGTTTGTGATTCCTGATGTAGTCTTAAGACTGAGGAACTTATTTTCAGTTATCTGTTTTGGTTATTTTTGTATTGAACATGAGTAAAATGCAACAAACGTGATAGCCGTGTAGATAATCGTTATCTTTATATAAAAACCAATCTTTCTTGCATTAATTGTTCTTTAAATGTTTCTTTGCTGTGTGGCTCAGTCGATGAAGATGCTTCAATCTTGTTCTTACAGAGGGCAATCAAAGCTTCATAAGGGAGAAATCTTGTTAAATTCTGAGCTGGATACTGATGAAGTAATTCTGCAGAAATTTGCCTTTTCAAATGCCCTGTGTCTTTCTGGTAAGTTCATCCTGTTGTGTACTATCAGTTAATTCCACAGATATAGTGAAATGTCACTGTGAGTGGGACTCGTACATTGAAAGGTTGAAGAAGACTTAGTGTCTTAGTGTCTGGTTTTGGTAACCTATATAAAGATTGATTGTGCATCAGTGGGAGGATTCATTCTTACTTTGTCTTCCTTAAATGTGAATTACTTTTTGCAACTTAAAGATGAACAGAACTCCTTAAGGAAATACTTTGCTAAAGACATTCTACTAAGCATCCCTTTGCCCACATTTGAGATTATTCTAGGATAGTCAAGAGTGCAGCCCAGTATTAAAAAGCAGTCAGTAATCTTAACTGATCATGAGATCAGTAACAGAAAAAAAAACTTGATACCAGCTAAACCAGACAGAGTTGTAAAACAGATTTTCAGCTTAGGAAGTCAAGCAGCATCAAGTGTGTGGACTGGAGTCTCAGACCATATTTTCCAGGATTGTTAGCAATGGCTGTGTGCCATGGTGGTACTTACGTCAGGAGGCTCTGAGAAGTCAGGCTCAGCAGTGATACTTCTGACCAAGGAAATAATCTCTGCTTCTTCAGACTTAGAATGAGGTAGTAAGTGGGAATAGAAACTAGCAGCAATAAGGCTGTCCTTAAGAAAACTTTAAAGGAAAACCTCTACTGCTTTTAGAGTAAATTACAAGAATCATATACTACGTGGGGGAACGTAACTCTAAACAGAAGACATCAAGAAACAGAATGCATGTTCTGGAAGTGATACACTGCTTGATCAAAACATACAGCATAATAACTAAATGGGTCTTGACTGCTGAAGAAAGAACTACTAAGGAAAAAAGCCTTTAGTTTTGCTATTGTTAAAGCCATAGCATGAAAAAGTGTTGCAATGTATAATAGAGCAAGGGATTTATTCCCAGGAGGTAACTGGTGCCAAGTTATGTTACTATGAAACATGTACACCATAAAGGAAGACAGTGCAATGTTCAGTATTATTAAGGGATGCAAGTATAGTCAAAGTCCAATTTCACACAACAGAAACTAACCTCTGTCAAATAATCATTGATAGCTGAAATGTCTATTTTCAAAGGCTAAATTAAATGCTGTTTAAGTGGCTGACTTGGATTACTCATAAAATGAACATGAAGAATGCTCAGCACTTGAGTTTATTGTGCTTCTTGACCAGTACAATTATGACCACAAAATAGTTCAAGAATTAAATCTTTTCTGTTTAATTTTTGAGTGGATGGAAGTAATTTTTGGAACCGGTCTGATGTTATTACTTCATTCTTCCTTGGGAATTTAAGGATTAAAGAACAGCCTGATTTTTGCATGTCGACACAGAAATCAACTTTAAGGCTCAAGCTGAGACACAGGAGAACTAGTGTTGGCATTACGTGGGATTAACAACTTCCAGAGAATACTTTTAATATTTGAAGTTAACATTATATTCACCAAAAAAAACAAAATTGGAGATTGTCTAAGTTTGGATTTAGCTTCAACAAATACAAGGAGTAGTGTCTATACAAGCTAATTCTCACTGGCTTGAGCACACTTCATTAAACACTGGACAGATGGAGTGAAAGTTCTGCACAATGCTGTAGAAATGCAGTGGAAACTTGACTGGCACCATGTGAAGTTAGCTTGATTCCAACAAGGCTAAGTACTTCTAGCATCTGCAATACCTCCTTGGAATGGAGTTTGCAAAGGCTTCATACACACAGTATAGCACTCAAAGTCACCAACCTGAGCTGAAGCAAAGCCTCTTCAGAGTCTGAACCAATCCACTGGAGAGGAGAGCTGAGCTCAAGGTGGTTCTGCAGGCAGATTTGTGTCATTACACAACCCAAATTTGTCTGCAGATGTATGAATGCATTGGTTATACAGTGTAATGGGTAATTCACTATGAATATGCTTGTGTCAGCGTGTCTTGAAACAGTGCTGTATTTTGGCAGATGTAGATGATTACTTGAAAGCATACACCCCCTCTCACAGCATTATGCTTTGTCACCTCTGTGTTGCAGTAAAACTGGCTATTTGGGAATCGTTATTGGATAACTTTGTGGAATCTATCCAATCAATTCCTGAGGTGAGGTCTTGTTTTTACCTTTCTCCTCATTTTCTCCTGTGCTATGTAAAATCTGGATCAGTCTAGATACAGCTGAGGATATAGAAAACACATTTGATTTTAAATTCATTAAGATAGAGAGCTCAGAACATTTTTAAAGGGTGGAACAAAAAACTGGCAGTCTGTAAAGGTCTGGGTCACAGCATGGGGAAAACTGCATTGGAATAACTTTTCCCATTCTGTGCCACTGCTACTTGCTATTGATAAATGTTGACAAGCAGCATTTAAAAGCCTGACCAAACACAGCATAGTGTGACAGCTTGGTCTCAAAGCAGTGTGCTGAATTTCAACGTAATTAAGAGATCATTGAGTGTTACACTTGAACTACACTTTCTCATGAAGTGCAATTAAAATAAGAAGTCTGTATGATGTCACATACAAAAATAAGATTAATAGGGTTCAAAAGATAGATCATTTATTATTAATGAAGAGAATAAATAGTAATACATTTTTTCAAGTGAGGAAGAAATCTGCAGAAAAAGCTGAACAGCAGCAAGGTAAAAAGAAAATTGTCATGCCTTAAAATTAGCACAGTATTGAGAGAGGACAAATGATTCACAGAAAGCGCTCCAGAATTCTTACCTGGGAGAACAGCTGAATGACAGTACTCTTATCAAGCTAGATAAGCAAGGCACTATGGAAGCTAAACTTAGGTGTAACTAAATCTGATATGTGTTTAGATTTTAAGTCATATATACTTCAGGCTGTACAGCTTTAGACTTCTTAACCACTAGTAAATGCTATTTGATCAGGCAGGTAAAACTTGTTACTTTGCAGATCCTAAAATCAAGAAGGAAGATAAAACTATCTCACGCAGATGTCATGCAGAAAATTGGAGAACTTTTTGCATTAAGGTAACGTTTTTTGTTATGCTGAAGATCGTATCATACAAAACTTAAAAATCAAGTAGTGCATGATACAAAAGCCTGAGAATACTGAAGACTTTATCTCCTAGCCTTTATAATGTTGAGACAGAAGCCTGGTTCTGAACTGTACTTCCATCCCCAGTGAGCATTGTCAGTCACACTTAAGCTTATTTCTATTTGAGAACTCTGTTAAGGACCTCCCCTGTAACTTTAATTCACATATTGATCATCTTCAGTGAGCTACCAGCATAGTGAAGGACTTCTGTACAAATAGAAGTCACGAAAAACTACAAGCGATTAATGCATAAGGTGTGCATGTTACAGTATTCTTGGAAAAGTTTCAGGAGATATTACCAGTTTTAAACAGTGACTACATGTGCGTTTTTATTATGAATGAGATCCTTCTCATATTTTACTGAACAAGAAAAACTTTGTAATTTTTAATTACTGTGTAAATATTTGCTCCTATGTGCACCAAAAGGAACTCTGAACTACTGCAGTAACCGTTCTTTTTAGACATCGCATAAATCTGAGTTCAGACCTGCTGATAACACCTGACTTCTACTGGGATAGAGAAAAACTGGAAGAGCTTTATGATAAAACATGCCAATTTCTCAATATTAATCGCAGAGTTAAGGTAGGTGTCTTACTGTTGTAACAATTTTCCATATTGCATTCAACTGTCATTGGCTCAGCCAGGCTACAGACTGCTCCACAAATGTCTGTTTTAATTTTTTAAAAAGACCAATAGGCTCCTGTACACCATCCCCCTTTCTGTGCTCGTAACCCACTCACATCTTTTACCCAGTTTAGGTTAACAACCATGCCTCAACCACCTAGACTTAAATGGATTCTGTACTTCCTGAGCCACTAACTTAGGCTTTAAATAGTTGTAAGAAGAGGAGCTTTAATTCTTTTTCTGAAGTGTGTGCAAGAAAACAAGTTAAAAAAAAAAAAAAAATGTGATGTGAAGCAGTCTTCTTACTGATGACATGATCATCCAGGTCAGTTCATTGCAGGGCAATGTAATGCTTACTGCTCTACCAGAATAAGCATGAGATACCTCTTCCAGTGGTACAGCAACCTTACATACTTATTTAGCTACTTTTGAGGCATTTCCATAAGCTGCATGTCATTTGCTTGCATTGTTTTGTGACTAAATGTCACCCAGTAGCTGTTTAATACCTGCATGTGCATATCTAAACTTGTATTTGTTTTTTTATGACTGTTGAAATAAGAGTTGTATTAGAACTCCCATTGCTTGTGCATGTTACAAGACTTTGCATTCTGCACTTTCACAGAAACGTTAACAGCTTTCTGCAGTGAGCCCCTTTATGGATTGTTTCCTTAGTGATCTCATACAACGTGTAGAATCCAGCTTTGCCCTGTGTTTGAAATCTGTTGCAGGTAATGAATGAAAAGCTTCAGCACTGCATGGAGTTGACAGACCTAATGCGAAATCACCTGAATGAAAAGCATGCTCTGCGCCTCGAGTGGATGATAGTAATACTCATCACCATAGAGGTTGGTTGGGGTGGGTTTTTTCCCCACTGCCACGTTGAAGAATGTAATAAGTGCAATTTATATACCTCAATTTGAAAAAAATCAAGATTAACTTATTCATTATTAACTTATTCATGTAATGTACAAGTCTTCAGTTCTTTGCAAGTAGCTTTTGAGTTGCAGCTATAGTTATTTTCTGGCTTATAGTTATTTTCTGAGCTGTTTTAAAGCTTGCTAAGAATTGGTCATTGATTTAATGATGTGTTTGCTATTTCACAGGTTATGTTTGAACTCGCAAGGGTAGTGTTCTGACATCAGAATAGACTCTGGAAGGAAACTGACAAAATGGTAATGACCATATAGCCAAGAAAATTCCTGTCTTACATGCTTCTGGAAAATAGAGGAATTGTCTCTCTTGATAAATATGTACATACTTTACTCAAATAAAGAAATTATGAACATTATACCAACTCTGTAACAGTGATATTAAAGTCTTAACCTATGGATGTGCTAGCATGAAGCTGAGGTACAAGTGATACAGTTGTAGGGGAATCTTGCCAGTCATTAGGCTGGATACAGAGCACTAGCACTTTCCTCCTACTGAACAGAGACAGAAGGATGGACCCCTTCTGGGCTGACCTTGTTAATTTGCTGACAGACTCTTGTGCCTTGTCTCCTTGACAGTTAAAGAGATGCTGATTATTTAACCACTTCCTGCATTTCTGGTAATTCCTTTGTCTTTCCCAGCTCCTTCTAGGATAGAAGCAATACTGTCCTGAGGAAGACTAGTTTCCAGGAAATAAGCTTCCTATAATACTGCTATTCGTTCTAACAAGAATAGAATTGGGCAGAGCTAGGAAAAACTAGCTGACTACAGATCTGTCCATTGTAAGAAGCACTAACTCCTCCTTAACAGTAGGCTTTTCTCCTCAGAGAATCAAAACAGGTAATACCTGGAGATCCTGGTTCTGGAAATAGCTCAACTACCAGTTCTGTGAGCTGCTGAGAAGGTCTGAGCTGTCAGCCTTATTCACGGGAGTGAATCAGTCAGCAGAACAGCTTAATGACAAAGCTTGCTATTAACTGCAGAACAGCTCCTCAGCACTGATCTCTTACATATTTAGAGAAGTAGTACATTAGATCCATTAAGTGGTGCATGGTTTTTCCTACATAACTACTGTAACAGAGAATTAAACTTTAACTGTCATTATTCTAGCAAACTTAACTTTTTTTTCTTAAACACACAAAATAGGCTCCCCCTTCCTCCCCAATTTAAGTGTAACACCTGAGCCTGAGACACTAAGTTTCCATTCATCTCACATATTTAATAGCTTTAGTATTTCAGCTCAAGCTGCTAAAAAAGTAACTTTGCAGGCTAAATGCATCCATCAACAAAAGTGATTATAACAAAGGCATTTGAGGACTCCAAGATGCTCTTTAAATGCATGAAGCGTCTAGGTTTGAATATCTCAGGTGTTCTGTCTTAAGATGGTGCTTAAGAGTTAGCAAGTCAAACACTCTAAAACAACAGAAGCATGGTTAGTTTTGCAACTTTACATCAGTTTCTGTCTGCACAGATGACGAAGGTTGTGAAATCCCAAAGACTTCTCCAAGATTCCAACACCCTTTGCTGTACTGAGTGGCTATTCAGTGTTATTTCTGCAGTTAAGCTGTAACTGCATATTAAAATTTTGTATCAATCTGCTCCAACCCTCCAGCATCGGCAGCTGCATCCTCAGCATGAGGGTTTAGGTTTGTTTTTCAGTGATGAACTGTACAGTCTGACAGTGAGAATATCGTCACTATATTAAATGGAGATCCCAGACAAAGCCAGGAATACAAACATACCAAGAACTGAACTTGAGCCTTCACAGCAAAATATGCTAGTACAGCAACCCCCAGAATGGAGCAGAATTAGCATATTTCTCCCATTGGCAATCTTCAGCCCTGCTTCAAGCTGGGCAGCTGATAGAGGTCTTGTGCAAGTTTACTGCATGACCTGATTAGCAGGGTGTTCTGTGGCAGAGACAAGATTAAATCCACTTCTAGAAACAAAAAAACACTGTGACTCTGAAAACATAACCATCTCATTTGTCTCATCCCCTACATACCTTCCTAGTTCACCTGCAAAGAACTTTCTTCACAAAAGAAAGTTATGTCTACACAGCACAGTTCAGTTAAACCCCAAAGTGGGTCTCTTCTAGCCCATGAGGATCATCTAAGGAAGAGTATAATAGTAACAAATACAAAATATGAGAAAAAACAGCAAGCCTGGTGCATCTACAACTCTTAGAATTGCAACTTTTTAATGACAAATGTAATTCAAATTAGACCATTATTTATAGAGACCCCAACGGTGCTGAGAGCTTCTGTCAGATGACACAAAGGACAACTAGTAGAAAATTATTTTCTTGGGTGGATCTACTAGAAAGAGTTGTCAGAAGACGAGCCATTTATACAATAGCAAAGAAAGCTGAAAGCGAACAGTCAGGACTCCTGACTTCCAGCAGTTTTTGAAGGGAACCTCTCTCCTGGCCACAGTCAATTGTTTTGTCAGCACACCAGCTCTGCATATGAAAAAAAGTTGATGCAAATGCCACCTCTATAAGATCCCCACAAAGGTAACTTAATGGCAGATAAGAGCTTATAGAAGGATGACATTCTTGCTAGCTTCTACCACCTGAAACAAAGATTCTCCTCTCTCTCCATTCTAACCTAACGCTAGGAAGTTCGACCCAACAGTGGAAAGACGAATCAGATACTATGTGTCCACCTAAATGAGTCTTACTCATAGCTAAGTCACAAAGTTGCCTTCTAAAGTACCTATCAGAGAACAAAACAGATGAGTGATCTCGATAGAAAGAACTTTGTGAAAAATCTTTTCCAGTTTTGGACACTTTATATGCAGATTGGTTTAGAAGTACCTCTTGCTTTTACCAGTCACCTTTCCTAGACCCTAAAGACAAGGAAAGACTTTAGGTTGGAAATTACTGACCTGTGAGGTACAGCCTTTCTTCCTTGTATGGCATTAAGCATCTATCAAGCATCTTAGCATCCTAATCCACAGACTGCTTGATGATGGCCTGACAACTACTAAAAAGACATACAGAACTTGAGGGACTTGGATACAATAAACGATGTGCAGGGATTTAAAAACCAAACCCACTGCCCAAAATACTTATCTTCAGATGGCAGGAAGGAGAGCTAAGGCAAAGTTAAGCTAAGGGGAAAAGAAAGTGACTTGAGAAGTACATAAGACCAGCTGAGAAGGAAAAAAAAAAAATAGATCATAACTCTTTACAGGGAGAAGGGAGGCAAAGACCTCTGTTAGCTTCAAAAATGATTGTGCCATAGCTATTCACAGTACAAGGCTGCCCATTTCTCCGGATCCCCATGACAGTTTCTTAACAACACACTACTCTGTACTACACCTAAAACCCAGGAGGCTGGGTCTCAGAAACTTTGAAAACTATGCAACTCCAGCAGTTTGGAGTCCTTTACAGTGTATGACAGCAATAATTGAATTTACCCAGAAAAAATACCAATCCCTCTCCTCACGCACAGCATGGTGACCAACCCATTTCACATTCGTAAGCAAATAAAAAAAGGAGACTTTTTTCCCATACGTCTACTTCGAGTTGCTGAAGGCATGATGCTTACATCTAGTATTATCAGTTCTCCTTATTACTGCTATTTAGGCCAAGTCTTCAAGCTCCAGACACAGAAAAAATACATTTTCTGGACAGGTGAAACAGGAATACTAAACTGCGCTAACTGCTGTCCCCCAGATACATTTTGACAACCTCCTGAGCTTAAGTCACAAGATTGGCCAACACAATTCCTTTGCAACAGTTGAGTATTAAGTATCTCTAAGTTTAAAGTCACCACATAGGCAGCACTACACGGTGATGTGAACAAAGAACCAAATGCTGTTCACTCAGATGCGTCATTTTCTACCAAACACCTCAGCCTCAAAAATGCACTCTGTGAAGTTGCAGTTTTAATTTTTTTCCCCCAGGAAAGCAAAATACACAGGTACATATATGCATGTAACTATCATCCTGCTCCACTACACTCATCTTCCCAGCTAAGAACGCACAGTCACGTTTTAGCTCTTCCAGTTGAAAGCAGGCAAGGCGGCTCTACCAGGCTAAACTGGAATGAAGGCAAAGGCAGAACAAAGAGGGGCAATCTGCACTGCAGGAGCTGCATCAGTAAAGTGATGCTACAACTCCTGATGGAAATGAGACCCCTAACAAAAACATTTTTCTATGTGCAGTTAAGCCATTTCCTTTGATGACAGATGTTCTACTAGCAAAAATATTGGGGTTTTTTTATTTGGAGGTTGTTTGTTTTGCTGGTGTCAGTTACAGCTACCCAGATGCTACAGACAAAGCTTTGCTCACTAGGTGTAAACAAAATGTTCCATGTTCCAACTAACATCATGATAACAGAAGAACAGCTACTCTATTCTACTTCTTCCTTTTTTTTTCCACATATGCAATGTACACCAAAAAAAAAAAAAAAAAAAAGCCTACACAACACAGTTTTCTTTTGCCTCTAGAAAATCCAGACCTGCTCTCAACATGACAGCTTAGGGGTTGACCACTCACCTATCATGAGCACATCCACCAGGAGGTCCCTATGCCAGGGAAACCAAGATAAGAGAAAATGCAGAGCCATTCCTCATCTGCTGCTGCACCCCTGTGCAAAGGCATCTCCTGGAACCGCTTCTTGGTTTGTGCTCCCAACGCAGAGATACACCAGTAAGGTTTGACTGAGGGAATGACAAAATCTAGTGAGGAAGATATTCCTGGATAAGAAGATCAGACACTATCAGAGGAATGATATTTCGTAAGCAAGTTACTGGTGCTGTTGCACTTCCCACTACAACACAACAGAAAGCATAACAAGACAGCAGTATAGCAAGGTCTTAAGCTACAGTGAGCGCAAATCTGGTTATATGCAATAGCAGTAGGCACAGAAATAATAGAAAGAAATTGCTTATCTTCAGAAGGCCT